TACCGTTGGATCAGGTCCATGTAGGACTTGTAAGAGGATGGCAATGTGCCTGTGCTTTCTGCTGAAGATCGCAGACGTCATATGAGACAGCTGAGAAAAGCATGCCTCTTTGCCTGAAGACACTAGCGAGCGCTTTACTCTCCAACACGGTCTGGACTGTCCAGCTGGACATGAGAGGATTACATAACCTGTTATCCAATTTTCTCATACAGTTGTCAACTTTGATCTCTCATGTTCTCTTCAGTCCAGATATTTCATTCCACAGATTTGTAATGTTATCAGTTGGATGTAAAATCATTGGAGGTATTTTTATAAAAATATTGATCTGACCCCAATAACCTACAATATCACTATTCAGCATGATTAAAACATGATGTAGCCTACACCCCACAATATAATGTTCACCAGCAAAGTGATGCATAACCAAATTGTGCTATGCAAACCATGCATGAATAATTTGTGTAACCAGGAGAATTTGTTTGTCTCGGTTCAAGACTGCCTAGCGATAATCCATGCACGCGGTACGCAAACACCCAGAGTGATCTTTCCTGCTGATGAGTTTACAAAGAAGTGCTGAGAGAACATGCCGTCCCAGGGGTCAGGCCAGCTGAGGTGCTGTCAGGAAGACTAATACAGATAGGCCTATGTGCCGGAGGTTTAATTGAGACGTTGTTTGTTGATGTTTCGCAACTTCAGGAAAGTATTGCAGGTCATCGTTTGCCCTGTTGCTTGTAGGTGGTGAAAAGCAGGTAAGAATAAATGCTGCTGCTGTGGGAGAATGAGAGACTGAATTGGGTCAAGGCAGTTTTGAATAAAATTGCTCGTCGTCCTTCTGCAACACCCACACTTTCAAGCTAGACAAACTTTAATTACGCACTCATATGGTTGAGTATCCGTTTATTAATTTGACATTTTTTATGGAATATTAAATATTTTTATTTGAATATTTAATAAGGCACACTTTGATCTTTGTACCGGGATGACCATTACTATTTCTGCCTGTTGTAATTGGCAGAAAGAAGGCTGCTGAGTAAAAACACTGTACAATATTGGAAGGCACAAGCATTTACTCACCTTCATGTCATTTCACAGTGTAAAAAATATCCTGTTAAAATTACAGTAAAAATCTGGCAGTTGTTGCCAAAAATTCACTGTAAAAAAATGGATGACATTCTGGTAACACACATGATGCAAAAATAATGTAGTAAACATAAAAACAAAACACCTAATGTACATACTGAAAAATTAAAACTATTTATATTAATAAACTGGCTGATTATATTTCTAAACTAAAATTAAATAAACTATAAAACAAACTAAAGTAAAGGTAAATTAAATATAATTGTATGTGATGTGTAGCACAGGGACTTAATATAATATCAATTATATGTTAATTCATAGTTTTTAATTCCGAAACCCCAAAATTTGACAGTATTTTACAGTAATTATAATGCAATGTTAAATTATTTACAGTTATTTGCTGTTTTAGTCTTTTTTTAACTTTTTAAATCTCACTTGAAAAATTCACTCGTATGTTTTTACATGCAGTACTAGATTTTAGATTTTAAGTAATAATATTATTTTTTTTGCGTCATTTTTATGCATAATTTCTCCTTAAAATAAATGCAGAACCTTACATTTTTGACTGTAAATACTTGTTCTTCCTCCAAGTCTGCTTTCTATTTTCTAAATCCCTGCAGCTAAAACACAGAAGTGAAAAATCTATTGTAGCACGACCTAATTTGACTGCAGAACGCTCAGTCCTCATCTTCATTTACTACTCGTTACCTAAACCCTCACAGCACGCACACGCACACAAAGCTCAGAAAATGCAATCATGTGACATCACTCAGCCGATTCTGAGAATTCGCTGTACATTCCAGCGGGGATATGAGGGGTGTGGAGCAGCCCTCTTTTCATCTGCTGGGCGGTGGGTGGGTTGACTTCTCTGAAAGTGTCAAGCGCATTTAGTTGTACTCCCACAACACTCTTCATCCAGATGCATGGTCAGCCAAGATGTCTTGTTGTTTGTGTGAGGGAGGTAGAATTAATAACTGGGGTCATTGAGAGGTACACTGTGCGGTGGAGTGGATGGACATTTACCTTTGCATGCGTGCTTGCTCATGTATGTGAGCCGTGGGCTGCAGGTGTTAGAACGCATCCCTAAATGGCACGCTTTACAGCAAGCTATGATGTCAGCTACCTTTTGCACCCATTCAGGAATGCTTCGGTCTGCCAGCCTAGACAGTGTTTGGTCATGGTCTCTTGAAGGAGACAAGATGCTGCAAAGCAGGGATCTACAGTAAGGATGGGCAGGATAGTTGACTATATCAACTAGCTAGACGATTACTATGACTTAGTTAACTATGAGAT